AAAAAATGATCGACATAATATAAATAATGTCATATATATATAAAATAAACAAAATCTCGGTAATTTGAATTAATATGTTATGTAACCCCTCACACAAACATTCCCCGCAAATATCTTACTAAAAATGATCCCTTGTGATCTTTTTCTTTTTAATAAAGGTCATCTGGCTAAATTTGTTTATTGGAGCAATCTTAAATGGGACATTTTTATTACTAATTTGATATAAAGATTATTATTAGAATTATAATTAGTAATAGAAATATCCGAATATCCGAATGCTCAAGAGTATTTATAGATCATATCATTTATGCAAAAGGTCCACTCCACATTCATCAATTACACGCGTTAAAATGGTGAATATTAATTTTACTTACTTCCTTTATTTCTCGGTTTCCAGTCAAAAACACTGTGGGAATAAAAAGTTGCTTATTATTTAATTAAGTTGTATAAGGAATTTTAATTAACTAAATTTTCATAATTAATCTTCAATAATGTCAAAATACACACAACTAAAAATATACGTTCCAGTTAAATAATAATATGAAAAATAAAATAAATGGATAATAAATAATAAAGCAATAATATAATGAATAAAATATACATATTTATTATTCGTAAAATTACTATGTATGAAATAGAGTTGCCTTCCAAAACTAAAAACCTTTCGGAATTGGTATATAAATAGTTTTGGGAGCTTAGAAAGGCAACTCAAGTATGAAAATCTATTTTATTCGGTGATAATTATTTATCAAAAGAGTATATATTTTTTACACGCGTCTGATTTTTCCATTCATACAAAGAATTTTTAGCAAACTTTATTGTTTTATCAACCTTTTATGATGTTTCAATGAATGAAATCAAAAAAGAAACTTGACAATCGTAAACTTTTTTTTTATATAAATTCAAAAGTCTAGATGTTCAAATGTGTCTGTTAATTAATTTGTTTTCCTTTTTAAGATTTAATAATCATTACTTTGTATTAGTTGTAAATTACCAAATTGGTACTCAATATACAAATTTAATTTTTCTATTGTCAATAAAGTCTCTTTGTTCGGAACAATTGGTTCGGTCTGCGAAAAATCTTTATATTGGAAAAACAGTTCATTTTTCCGTATGATTTGTGTTTACCAAACAGAAAATATACTATTACTATATTAATATAGTACGGAACGTTTCCATATTGGTATTTTTTTATACGGAAAAGAACGTAATTTACAGAAAATTCATAGAAAACATAGATACAATGTTTTCTATATTTATCGCAACATTTTTCATGCCAAAATCATCTGAAATATCCGAGAACAACAGTATGTATGTTTTTAGTGTGTTTCTGTAAATCGCGCCCATTTCCGTATAAAAACATATTAATACGTAAATGTGCAATTTTGCAGGAGGATTGCGTGCTAGTAAATTTTCCATGTTTTCTGTGGAAGTTTTTTATAGGTATAGATTGATTGATCTGAATAATAAATTAATTTTTGCATACAAACGTACAAGTAAACTTTTTATAGACTTTTCTATCTAAAAAATACATTAATAATTACAATTCTAACAACAACAACAACAACAATAATTTTTTTGTATCGTTTTATAGAATATGAGTACAAGAGGCTAAACTTGTGATCAATTATTAAATGAATTAAATGTGATGATCGACGGTCTTTTAATGCATTGTGTGATTCTAAAAAAATACCCGATTCATACATTACTAAATATTTTTATTGCTACATTGGAAATTGTCATTGTAATTATAGAATTTTAAATTGGGAAAATTCCGAATATTACTATGATAAAAAAATTTATATCAACATTGACACCTAATTCGGACATTTTCCGAAAGGCAAATCCTTTATCCATGGAATAACAATGGGTAAAGCTTCTGCCTTTCGGGGTGTGTGGCGTGGATATTTCTGATGTTGATCTCCGGGATTTTGTCCGGATAACTCACTCTATGATCGACAAACTCATGGGTAGGATAATTATAATATATCCCTCTACAGGCAAAACCTTTATCCATGATGACAAATGGATAAAGGTTTTGCCTGTTCGGAAAATGTCCGAATTACCTGAACCGATAACGATAAAAAATGATTTAAAAAGGCAACACTGACAGCGATTAGGTTTATCTTAACCAAAAATTAAAATTAAAATTTTGTCCTTAATTTTTATGTACTACCTATAAAATAACATTAGATGTTAAATAAAAATATTAAATTTATTAAGATTTCACTTTTTTTTTCTTTATTTTCTACAAAATCCATTCTTTTAGTTAGGTAATCCATTATTTAAACTATATCAAACCTATAGTTTTATAACTTGAATTTTATTATTGTAAAGTTATTTTTTTCAGAAAATGCAAGATCATAGAGGTTCATGAGACTATAGCCGATGTTTTCAATTTTGTCAAAATACAATTTCTTGTGCTATGTAAATTTTTTTTAAAATCTTCTTCACACACTCACGATTACTTATTATTGTACATTCAATTAAAAGAACGAACTTTATAGAATAGTAAAACGTCAAAGAATTGAAAGAATCGGAATTGGTTAAATTTAATGTATTATATTAATATTAAATTCACTTATTATAAAACTGACAAATCCATAGACATAATTTAATTATTTAATGTTATATGTTTTGTACAAATATTTAGAATGAATAATAATAGCAATAACAATAACAAATATATGTGTATGGAAGTGGGTTACAATGATCCTGATAAAGAATATGAAACCCTTGATGATGACACTTATACAGATAATTTTTCTATACCCACATCATCAACAACAACTTCTTTGATAAATACTGATCAAAATAGCTATTGTATTGATTTTAATGAAGAGTCATTAAGCAATGTAAAAAAATTTATTGAAAATTCTGAAGAATTTTTAGATAGAAAAGATGATAATGATATAGATTGGTTATCATCAGATTTTGATGTGCAATCTGATGTGGGTTCTTTGTGGGCTTCAACCATTGACGAGTTTGAAGATTCTGTCCATATTAGTCGCGGGACATTGCAGATCAAGTGTCATTCAATATAAACGTTACACAAATAAAATTATTATCGTCCACTT